TCAGCACGAGGCTGCGCATCATTTAAGGCTCTCTTAGGGAATGTGCGAAGCGGTGCGGAGACCTCGCGACTGCTGCCAGCTGCTGGATGAATGGCTGAGGGAGCTGCAGATCTATGGTGCCTCGGTAAGAGTAAGGGACCCTGCTTCTCCCGAAATCAGGATTGTTGGTCTGAATCCCGATTGGCACGGTGAAGTCCAGTCGGCTCGATGAAGGCTTGTAGGAGGTTACACTGATTTTTTTTCTGAAATTCTGTGTGCTTGGCAGTTGCCAGGGCTCAGCAGCCTGCTCCCCTGTTAGATTAAAGCCGCTGGAGATCTCTGCTCCCAGTCACTCCTGTAAACAGCACAGACTGGAACGAATGGTGTGAAAACTCTGGTGTTTTCCATCGTGGCTCGTGTTGTAATCAGAATGACCCGCTCATCGAGAATTCAGTTCCAAAACCATAAAAGGGATTACCGAGGTTGTATATACTTCTTGGTCAGGATTTCCAAACTGGATGTGAGATTCGTGAGAGCTCTTAAAGGGGCCTGATTGCCAGGAAGGGCCGAGCAACTGTTTTGGGGAGAAGGGACGCCTCTCCAGCACAGGCCAGGCTGAGATCATCAATGCCACGCTTTTGGATTGCACAGCAGTAGGTTAAACTGGAAAGAAAAGGATGATTTTGGTAATCCTTCTGTTTTTGTTTTTTTTTTCCCCACTGATAGTGCTAACGTCCTTTCTGTTCGTTGCTTGGTTTCTGACCTTTTTTGGTGGATTTTCAGATTCCACTTACCGGCATTTCTTTGTGGCTCTGAATGCTGGGAACCTTCGGAAAAGTGAAAGCTGAGATGTTTCAGCTGGATGGGCCTTTACACAAAAAGGCACTGGATATGAGACGATTCGCAACCAAATGACTAGCTTGCCATTCAGAAAAGAAAATGAAGTGTTGGGGCTTGAAAGAAGAGAGGAGACAACATTGCAAGCTGGAGACCCAAATCGTTGAACGTGATGCTCGGGTTTTGTGCCTTTGGTTTTGAGGCAGCAGCAAGAGTTTGAATAGCAGGGCCTGATCTATTACAAGATGAGCAGGAGCAAGATCAGGCTGCTTGTCCCCTTCTGGGGGAAAATCCGGGGTGCCCTGAGCCTGCCTCGCAGCGGTGACACGGTGCCCTCGTCACGCTTCACGCCGTGTCCGTGCCGCGAGAGGCTTCGGCGTTGGCTGCCTGCCTGATGAATGGGAAGGGGAAGCAGCGTATGGAGTTGGTTGGATCTTGCTGCGTTTTCTCTGCTAAGCCCATGGGTGAGAAACAGCACACATAAATACTGTTTAGGGCCTAGGTGATGTTCATAGGCAGCGGGCCTTATATTAACTCCCCTGTATCATTGACTGGAACATTCTCCAGCGGGAGAGTGTGTCTGGTGCAGGTATCGTCATGCTCAGGGAGGCACAGGGTGTCCCATGGATCACCTCCAAAAGCCACTTCAGTCTAGAGAGACCCCAGCTCCCTTGGTCCTGCCAGAAATGCTCACGTTTGCTATCAGTTGAAGGTTAAGTGTTACGGCAATAAAGTAACTGAACACAAATTTCCCAGATGGGGTAGAGGCTCCGGAGAAGGCGCTGAACTCTGCCAAACCAGTAAAACCTATTTGAAGCACTCTATATACATAAACATTTTCTCCAGAGTGTAGTTGCCTTTCATGCTATATCCTAGGGTTTGGCAGCACATTTACCAAACTTTATTTTCAGGCAACGGTAACAACAAAAGGGTAAAAGCAATTGCATGTCAGAAGTGACTAAATCAAGTACTGGTGGTGGAGGGAGGCTGGTTGCTGACAAGACTGGATGAAGGACCATGCAGAAAATTCATGCTGGGGGTGAAGCGAGAGTTTTGGGGATGTATTCATGCAAGATGCATTTCAGTCATCCTGTCACGCCTGAGTCTGGCTGGGCTTAAATGTGGGTAAGTTGAGCAGGCCCAGGATTTGTACCTGACAAATGGGTAAAGGCCTTTTCAGTAGCGCTCATCTTTTGGCAAACACCGGGCAACTGAGAGTTGCCCACCTGGCCTTTGAATCTACCCGTCCTGGTGCCTGAACTGGCATGGATGTAACCACGTAACTGTCTAATGTGACCTCAAACTTCCTGAAAAACTTCCAGAAAAACCTCCGTCTGATCTGCTTTCTTCCCAAGGTGGTTGTGTGCCTGTGTCTCTGAAGCATGCTAATAATGAACTCAGCCTGGGAATTTCCCAGCGGCCGGCATGGCTGCTGTTGCAGAGCCAGCTAAAGCACTGGAGCTTCATGTAAGTGGTAGTAGGTGTCATCGTTAAAAAGTTTCACGTTGGATTTTGGCATTTGAGATGTGTCTGTGGTAACAGACAGGTTTGGTGGCTGGTAATCATCCAAGCTCATGTTTCTGTCAGCAGGCTTTTATGCAGGAAGGTCCCAAACCACTCGTGTTATCAGCATAATCGTTCATCTCCTTGTTTCATCTGCCAAAGGGAAAAGGGGCTGAGTTGGCCACGCTCTAGCTGAAGCTGCTGTGCTGCCAGCTGAATGACTCAGGGCTGGCGGGAAAAAGGTGCACTCTACAGCTTAACCACCGCTCCAAAAAAAGCAAAGGATGAGTACCAAGCCTGGCAGCATCAGCCACCCTATTCGGTTCCCTGCTGCAAGCGTCCTGGGGTGCAGAGAAGCGGGGTGCTGGCCAGGAGCACATGGGAGTGCAGATTGCATTGGGCAGAGGTGTTAACACTGCTGTGCAGCTGGGTTGTAAGAGTTCACCCGGACGTTGGAGAGGATAGCTTGGGATCTCAAAGCGAGACCCTAAAACGAGTACTACTTTTACCTTGATTGTTGAAGGACAGGGCTAATTCTTCACATTTTTCTTCACCTGTTTCTAAGCAATGCTCCGCAGCTGCCTGGATGGAGGTGTTCATCGTGGGCTGTGTCATTTAGCCACCATTTCCACAGAAATCAGGAGCCTTCTTTGCACCTTGGTTCACGACAGAGCTGTGATTGCGTCTGTGCATCCAGTCTGGGGAGGTGCAGGTGATTTCCCACTTGGGCACGAGAAGGTCTGGCTCTGCAGTGAAGGTCCCCATTCACTGCTGCAGTTCCCAGACCACCAGCCCCATCCGTAAGGAGGCAGTGAGCAAGGCTGGGGTCTGAGGGAGGTACACGCATGCGTGTGCAGCTTCAGAGGGGCTCGGTGGCCCTGGTCCGTGGGTGTTACTAATGGCTAGTGCCAGGCATGTCCCCTCCCCGGGTCCTGGGGCCCTCTGACTCCGTGGGGGTGTCACAAATGCCAGCAGAGGTGCGAGGATGGCGGAGGGTGAGTTGTGTGGCTGTGTAGTCAGCCGTGCCCTGGGTGTAGGCACGGGTAGGATGTAGAAAGGGGAGGTGAACGTGTGTGCTTGGTTAAACCCAGCTCGGGCAGCTTTCTGACCCACTGGCTAGGAACCCTCTGAGAGCGCGGGGCAGGCAAGGCTGCAGAGTACTGCCGGGTGTAAGAGAGGGCTTTACCCAGCCAGGCTTCCCTGCTTCGTCCCCTCGAAGCCACCGTCTCCCAGGAGCAGCTCAGTCTAGACACCTTATGGCAGCCCCGCGCCGAGGGAATTTGCTAACTCATGGCTGTCCAGGCCAGGCTCCCGCAGCCGTCTTGGTGCTTCGAGATGCAGCTGCGCCCTGTCGTGCACCCTTTGTGCAGGATCAATATAGGTTATTGCTCTACACCATCCCCTCTGCCCCGGCTGTCCAACATGTATGCTTTGCTTCAACGCTTTATTTCTCGTTTTTCTCTCATTAGCCGGATGAGATGCAGAGCTCTGCGCAAGCCTGTCGGGGAGAGAAGGAGAGGGTGTCTGGTGCATGCTCAAAGCGCTGCTGCCTTTCCCAGCCTCCTCAGAGCCTTGTTGAGGATCGTTGGCCGCTTGTCGTGCGGCGGAGGTAGTTCAGCCTGAATAGAGTGAGCAGAACCCATGCCGCAGAGGCAGCCGTGCTGAATGCGATAAGCGCAAAGGAGACTGCAGCTTGGAGACAGATGCCTCTCCTTGCCAGTGCCGTTTGCGGAGGGCAGATAAGCTTCCTGGAAGCTGGAGCTCTCTGGAGAATGTGCAGAGGGATCAAGCCTGACTCTAAGGTCTGTTCAGCGCTTGGCTCATGGTCTCGTCGGTGGCACTGTGACACATTTGTAATGTGAAGAGCTGGGGTGAACACAGCGTCAAAAAGGATCCGCACAGCTATCGCCGCTGATCGAATTAATCCCTAGAGGGCTGCTGATAAGCAACCTAACCCGGTCGATAGAGGGGTGCTCCGTTCCAGGGAAATAACAACAAGTTAAAGCTTCCCATCAAACATCTGTTTTCTCTCCTTAGTAGTTTTCTGGTTTTCCACACAGTAGAGTAACTTGGTTCAAATACCCTCCGAATAGCAGCACCGCATGCCATCTGCGTATTTTAGCGGGGGGATTGGGGCCCAGGCTGCAGCCCCTGCTTTTCACAGGCAGTGCTTGGGTACGTAAGGGCTCCCAGGATCCAAGAGAGCACAAGAGCAGGGCTGGCAAATTGCCTTTCTCAGGGTCTAGTTAGGCAGCCTGTGTTTGCACAGATGATGCCACGGGTCATGGCTGCATTTCATTCTCTGGAACGAAACATATTTATTGTGCAAACTCATTTAAGGAAAAAGCTGACTTTATTAGTTGGTCTCTGGAAAGCAGTCAGCATTTCTGTGACCCGTTCTTCCATCACTAAGGCAGAACAGGCTTAAGCAAGCACCTACCAAAGGTGTGTCGCATAGTTAGTGGCATGTAATTTACCTAATTTATTCTTCAGTAAGGAGCTTAAATACATTGGACATTGGCTGTCAGTCCATACACAGGCGCAACGTGAAATATGCTGGTTTAATTTATTTAATTTTAACCAAAAAAAAAAAAGTCCTAGAGCAGTTGAAGAATGCTTTATTTTTTCCTTAGACTCTTAACAAAGTGAGCTGTATGTCCTGCATTATGGGGCTGTCTGTGGGAACTGGGCCATTTCCTTGCTGCTGTCTGACAGCCCAGTAAGTATGAATGCAAATTCTGATCTCCTTCACCTTTCCACTTTGAATCACCATATGGAAAAGAGACGTGGATTCCACCCCGCTTTAGAGTCATGGAAATGAGCTGTTATGAAATGGGGAAAAGGAACTGTATCCTGGCAATTCCTGGATGAGCAGCTTGAGAATTGACGTAATTGCAAGGCGCCAGGAGCGAGCCGACAGAAAGGAGGAGTCAAGTTAGAAAACGAGGAAAAACAAGAGTGTGTTTAGGAAAGCTTAGCTCTCTCCTTCCTTTCCCTTTTGGCCAGATGATGTTTTGCCATTGCCAGGTACAACTTCCTTCAAAGCAGATAACTAATTTATGCCGGAAAGACCAATTAAAAGAATTGATTGCCAGTAATGCACAGCCATCTTACAAAATAATCTCTGGCTCTCCAGTACGGCAGATAATCTAATAAGCAGAACATGGAAGTTTCACCACCTGGAAATAAATATGAAAGATAGGATTTTGTCTGCAGATGGCGTACATGAAAGAAGCAGGGAGAACAGGGCTGAAAATAGTTGAGAGACCTGCTTAATATAATGCCTTTTCCTCTGATATCGCCAATGAACTGGGAAATCAACTTATCCTGCTCATAATACTTTGTATTTTGCCCCTGTGTTGTGCAAACAGCCTGGCTTTCATGGTGTTCGGGTGATGGAAGCAAGGATGTCCCCTAGGAGACTGCGGCCGCTTTCGACTGTGACCTGTGTCCAGAGACATTCTCCCAAAATCTGTCAATATCTGCTAAAAAAAAAAGGTGCTCCTTACAGATTCCGATGTTTTGAAGGGACAATACAATCTCCTCTCCTCCGTGCTGGTTGTTGCCCTTCCAGGCAGCTGAGCCAGAGGGAGAGGAAGACCTCAGAGATCCCGTCTGGGCACCGGCAGCATCAGGAGAGGGTATCTGGCCCTAGCTGTCCCTGTGGTAGCAGGATGCTCGGATCCTTGACCAGGACTGGCGGTCCATTCAGCTGGCTGAGCTGGGGGATTCCGTGCTGCCTTTCCCTGTGCTTGAAACCTGAGGGTTTGTGCTCGTCTTGGTACCCAGCTGGGTGCTCTGGCTGCAGCTCCCATTACTGCTCGTGTGGGACGAATGAAATGCTGGTTCCCCCTCGCCCTCTATCTCTGTGCCCAGAGGTGGGACTTGTCTGGGCTGGGGAGGTGGCACAGCTATTTCACCTGCACCCCTGGTGGCTTGGCTGGAGTCAGAAATGTTTAGATGTAATTTGCTTTACCGTTTTTTTTTTCTGCCTCCGTCGTGAGTCACATCCTATACAAGGATCTCGCCACTGTCCTTGCTGTGCAGCTGTAAAAAGAAAAAAAAAAAAAAAATTGGACTGAGTTAGCTGAGCAGGGCATTGGGAAACACCGCGGGAGAGGAGGTATTTCCCTTCGTAGACTTTATATGACACCTGCAGTATGGCATTGCTTAAAAAGAGCATGCGAGCCTGTGGCCCTTTGGCCCCTGTCCATACTTAACATGTTGGGAAGATGATCTTAATGCTGGAAACGGTGTTTGGTGTGTGCAGCAGGAGGACTGACCGCACTCAGAGGCCTTCGTTTTTCAAGTCATTTGGCGACGTGTGCCTGGATCCTGGGTCCGTCTGTGTGAAATGGGAAGTTTTGGGTTGATTTTTTTTTTTTTTTTCCTGGAGGCCCCTAAGCCATGACATGGGGCAGGGGCTGGTATTTGAAGGGAATTTGGTGCTGCTGGTTCCTGGCCGCTGCAGTCTAGTGGAGAATCTAGCTTTTCAGAGTGTCTGGGACTTTTGTTTTGCTAAAAAAACTCCAAGCATTGGGAAGAAAAGATCTTTGTCTTTCAACTGCGAGCAAAGAAAGCTCTTAGTATATGTCCGAGAGCCACCAGAAATCCCCTAGCAACCAGGCTTCATCATCCCGATATTTCATTGCAGGATCATAGGAAACCAGAAACCCGCACAAAAGCACTGCTGTTATTTAAAATATGAAGTTGCTGCTGGAGGCTTCTTTATAAAGGGGCCCAGAATGGGCAAACCCTATTCCTCTTGGTATTTATAGCTTGCCTTTTAGCATGTGCACACATAGTCCTTGTGCTTTGAAACAGCTGGGACTGACTGAAAACTGGGTCCCTGAGGTCAGGGTCTGAAACAGAGACCGAGGAGTTTTAACTTCAGGCTACTGTCTTTGGAAACTTGGAGCCCGAGCCAATGAACTGGGAAGTTTTTGTCGAAACGTGGGGGAACTTTCCATCACATGCTCCCTTCCCTGCTGGCAAGGAGGTTTCACGTGGCTGTAGGTGAGCTGCCTGGCGTGATTAATCACCTTCAGCATCTCTTTCCTGTGCTGGGAAGTTTGGAGACAATGAAAGGAAAATTACTGGAGCTGGCCTGCTCTTTGCAAACCCCAGGGCTGCAGTGTCTGTGGATGGCGGGTCTGAAAAGGCATCCATCTCCCGTATTGCGGCAGATACGCAAAGCAGCCCAAACGGACCAGGGGGCCATTAAAAGCTGTGGTCCCCTCCACCGCGTTGGCCGGGAGCATCGTGCGGGCGATACGTATCTGTCTGGCACGCTGCCATTGCTGAGCGTGGATGCAGTGACCGAAGGAACGCTGGGTCCCTGCCTGTCCCATCCAAAGGTTCCCGCTGCAGCATCGTGCTCGTCACTTCTCCCCTGTCCCGGCGGGGAGGCGAGACCCTCTTGCAAAGCCGTAGGAACCCTACACAGCCTGGGCAGCGCTCGCCTCGGTGCGGGGGAGCAGCTCCGCAGGGAAGCCTGCCGTTTTGAAGTGGGGACGTGAGCAGTGCCCCTGCTTTGCCTATGCTTTCCGCTTGGGAGCGAGGAAGTGGCTTTGATCAGGATGGGCATGTGTCTTCGTGGCCTGGTTCCTGCTGGGGCTGTCTCGGGGGAGGCTGTCGATGAGGTCGATGGCAGAAGCAGCAGATTACCCTTGGAGCATCAGTGCAGGCTGCAGATGGAACGGGACTCTGCTGTTGCTACAGAAACAGCAGTCGTGCAGGATGCATAAAGGCAGCATCCTTTGGTAGAGCCGTGAGGTGCTCAGACACCTCAGCTTGCATGCTGCATCCATTTTTGAGACAGCCTTCAGGAAGGACCTGGTGGGGAGTGTCCGGAGGAGAGCAGTCAGATGCCCAGATGATGTGGTAGCAAGGGGTGATCGGGGGGCTTGGGCTTCTCTTTTCTAGCAGAGAAGAAGCTAAGGGAGGTGTTATGATAGTCTTTGTGTATGTAAGGAGTTGTTGCAGGCAAGAAGAGAGCGATCTGTTCTCCGTGTCAACTCTTGTAGGACAAAAAGTAATGAGTGTGTTTTGTCAAGGGAGATTCCAGCAGGGAACTCTCTGCCTGCAGGGAGCATGCGGACAGATGGCCCCGAAGTGGCACGGAGTCTCCATCGAGGCGTCTGAGGACAGGTAAAAAGCAGACATCTGGTCTGAACAATGCTGTTTTGGGAGGGGTATTTGGGCTAGCTGGCCTGTTGCCACCCTGCCTAGCCCTGCCGTCTGTGAGTCTGCACTTTGCAGAAGGAACCTAACAGCTCTTGTTTTACTTGTTTACGCAGGTAGTTTTGCGGAGAAGACTTATGAGTGGAGCTCAGAGGAGGAGGAGTCTGTGAGGAAGGCAGGACCAGTGCAAGTCCTCATTGTCAAAGATGACCATTCCTTCGAGCTGGATGAAGCTGCCCTGAACCGCATCCTCCTCTCAGAGGCTGTCAGAGATAAAGAGGTCGTGGCTGTTTCCGTTGCTGGAGCTTTTAGAAAAGGAAAGTCATTCCTGATGGACTTCATGCTGCGGTACATGTACAATAAGGTATGGCTCCAGCTCAGGTGGCTCTTCCCAGGGGTGTGGTGCTGCTGCTCATTGCTCCCATGTACCACCAGGGATGAGCTGGACAGGACACTGGGTTGGTGCTCTAGGAATGCTCAAGCCTCTCGTTAGCATGGGCTTCACAAAATAAAATAGAGCAGATCCTTCCACAGCCCTGTGCACCAGTGGGTCTCTAGTGGACTCTTGACTTTGGAGCAGAGATGTTCACATTTGCTGCCCTGTAGGAAACCTCTCCTATAGGGGCTACCCCTCTCCAGCACCGGGGTGGAGGCAGCACAGAGGGGAGAGTGTAAAACCAAAGCAAGACGGGAACTCTAGCAACATCTGTTCCTACCTGCAGGAAGCAGTGGACTGGGTTGGAGATTACAACGAGCCTCTGACTGGTTTCTCCTGGCGGGGAGGATCTGAGCGGGAGACAACCGGCATTCAGATATGGAGCGAGGTTTTCCTGGTGGACAAGCCCGATGGTAAAAAGGTGTGTGCTTCTCTCTTGCCTAGCTGTCTGTTGCTGGTCAGCTCATTTTTCTCTTCCAGCTTTTGTAGCACTCTCCTGCCTTGTCTTAGGTGGCTCAAATGCCTGTGTAAATTGAGGGGTCTCCAATACCATGTTCCTAATTCAGCATGAATGGGTTGAATGCAGTGAGGTGGTATCATGTCTAGGTGGTCCTGATATGCTCTCTAGGGGTCCCTCTAACTCTGGGCATCCCAGAGTTTTTCTCTGCTATTCCCAGCGATTTTGAAATTTGCATTTGCAAATTACTCCCCCTTCTTAGAGCAGTAGCTGTAAAATGGGGTGTCCTCATTCAGGGCAGTCACATACAATGCAAACTGGATTTTGGGGCATCCTGCAAATTCAATTTATAGCCAGGAGTATTTGTATTCTTCGACTCTTAACGAAGAGCCCAACACCAAAGTGACATTGAATTATCTTCGGTGTGATTTCTTACACTGGCTGAAGGTGTTTTGGGTTAAGGAGGTGCGATGCGCTGCCATGTGTGGCTTCTGTGACACGAAGCTAATGCAGACTCAGTAAAAGACCCATCCACACTGACAACAAGTATTTGAGGAGCAAAGCAGTTCCCTCTTCTGCGTTCCGTAGCATTCATTTCACTGCCTGCTGGAGTCATTGTGTTGTCGAGAGTGACTGGGGCTGCTCTTTTCCTTTGTCCTCCACCAGTTATAAGTCTGAGGCAGAAGCAGTGAGATTCCCAGCATGATAATGCAGCTGACATTCACCCCCCCACCCCTTGGGCATTTGCAAGTGATTTTGCTTGGATGCAGATGTTGAATGGGTGCATCCAAGCTGACATGGAGCTTTCTGCCTCTCAGGTTGCAGTGTTGCTGATGGACACACAGGGAACCTTTGACAGCCAGTCCACCCTGCGGGATTCGGCCACCGTGTTTGCCCTTAGCACAATGATCAGCTCGATACAGGTAAGAAGGGCGATGTCTTCAGGAATCACTTCCTAAAAGGCGGTGGCAAAAACCCAGTAGCTTGACACCAGCCTAACACAGCAGCTAGCCAGGGCCTTTGGTGGGAGAGACAAAGGCCATCGTGTTGGCTGCACCAAGTGCAGGACTCACGCGTGGCTCCATCATCACAGGGAACAGTCTCATAGAATCATAGAATGTTTTGGGTTGGAAGGGACCCCTAGAGGTCGTCTGGTCCAACCCCCCTGCAGGGAGCAGGGACACTGCTAACTAGATCAGGTTGCTCACAGCCCCGTCCAACCTGGTCTTGAATGTTCCCAGGGATGGGGCCTCCACTACCACCTCTCATCTCCTCACCCAAGAGCAGGGCCAGCAGCAGATGCACCCCTTTGCTTTCAGCTACCAAAGAGGAGAGGACCTTGGGCTGGGGAACTGGGTGTGCTTTTGTCTCAGTGCTGCTGGAGAAACCTCTGGGCTGGAGGTGTTCACACACCAGTAACCACATAGCCTTCTAGGGCTTCCCTGCCTACCACCCAGCCTTTGCTCTTGGAGGACAGCGTGAATGGGGTGGAAGCTGTCTCTTGGTACAGAGCTCAGCACATCATAAAAATGGAGAAGAAGGAACATTATTTGGACCTGACAGGCTTCCAGGCTGGGTCATGACAGCCCCTGGTGCTCCCATGCTGGAGTGTTTTGCTGCGCAGGGAGCAGCAGTGCCCGTCTGCCTGGCAGTGTGAGTCTGTCCAGCAGTACATCTGTGCTGGGGGCCTGTCTTGTACCGGCACCACGGGCCAGCTGGGACTTTGGCTCTGCCCCCATGGTAATGTTGTAGGCTTTAACCACACCGACCCACGCGTTGGCCTGAAGGACAGGCCATTCTGAGTGCTCTGAAGTTTTTGTTTTTAAATGCAGGTTTATAACTTGTCCCAGAATGTGCAGGAGGATGATCTGCAGCACTTGCAGGTAAGACCCTTGTCCCTGCTGCTCTGCAGCACTGGGGTGCCTGGATTATGCTCCACACTTGTAAGCTGTGTTGCTCTGGCACTTTTGCATTCAGAGCCACAAAAGGTTTTTTCACTTTCCCAACTCTCATGTTGGTTCACGGGCGTGGAGGAACAGCCACTTGGGTTGAAACCTGTCTTGCCTGTGCTCTTGTAGCGTGGCTTCTTGGGGGTTTGGGTCCTTTGGCAGGGCAGTCAGTGGGACACTCGCCAGGAGGGACTGTTCCTGTCTCTGGGACGTGTGCCTTCCTCAAGGCTGATCGCCTGTGGAGCTGGAAACGGCCCACGGCTGTGCTTCGTGCTGCAGTAGGTGGACGGAGGGCATGGAGAGGCTGAGAGAACCAAGGCTTTTGAAGAGTTTTATGTCATTTGAGTCAGTAAATATTTTTAACAATAATGCCTTTTTAACATTGAACTTGTCCAATGCAACTCTGATCTTTCAGCTTGGATTTGAAGCCATTATTGTTTAACATGTTGACCCATTTTTAGGCATCTGTGAAATACATTATTGTGCCTTCAGTTAGAAATTACAGTCCAGAGAGACTGGAGAGCCTTCAAATCTTGCTGGTAGGCTGATGTTACAGTCTTTGCACAGCAGGGGTTTGCAGGGAAAGTACTTACTTCTGAATTCATTTCCGCTTCTTAGAGTGTTTAAAGAGAGCGGGGCTCCAGCAGTCCCCTGTAGCACGTGAAGTTTCTGGTTGGTATGAAAGCAAGAGCTTTGAGAAAACAGTTTTGAGCCATTTTTCACAGGTTTGGCAGCCAAAAATTCCAAGCTGAGATCTTTCATGTGAGGGCTCAGCACAGTGATTGTCTGTAACAGCTCCGGGTGCCTCTCAGATGTGAACCAAAAGCATGCAGCCAACCAGTTTCTGTTCCAGCTCTGCAAATGGTGCTGTTACCCCAGGTCAACAACCGTCCCTTGCTGCTGTGCCTGTGGCTCACGGCCCTCTGCCCGGCCGTGCAGGCTGACAAGCTAACAGCCCTGTTGTTCTTTGCTTCTCCTTCCAGCTTTTCACCGAGTATGGCCGGCTGGCCATGGAGGAGACATTCTTGAAACCTTTCCAGGTGAGTCCGAGGGTCCTGGCCAGCACACGTCCCCTCTGTCGGAGGTGGCTTGGCCCCGAGCCGGTTGGCTTCACCACGAGGTGTCACTGCAGTTTGCAGGACAGGGAGGAGATGGGGATGCCTGGGGACTGGCTCAGCTGTGCAAAGGAAAAGCTTTGTGCTTCCTTGCCCCCAAAGAGGCTTCCAAATACATCCAGCCTCCCTCTTTCTTTCCTCTCTGAACCCTTGCCATCCTGAGAGCTCTGCCCTGTTCTGCCAGATATCCTGCTGGGCTTGGAAAGCAGTCAGGTTTTGCAGCAGGTTTGTCACCTGGGGATTCTGCCCAGCCTTCGCTCTGAGAGGTTTGAACCCGCCGGCCCTGGGAATCCCTGCTCCTGGCAGAAATGAAAGGACGAGGATTAGCTCAGAGCTGTAGCGAGTGACAGCAGAGCTATGGGAAGGCTTGGTTTAAGTGGGGTTTTAACTTCAAATAAGGGACATCTGTTCGCCCTGCTGCTTCCCAACCTGTGCAAGCTGGCGTTCAAAAAAGGGAGAGTGTCGGGCAGACAAGAGCTTGCTCCGGACACCAGAGCTGTGGGCAGCTGGGAGGATGGTGGGCTGTGACAGCCCCTTCCAGTAGGAAAGTGAATATGAACAAAAAGAGACAAAGCAGAAAATAGGGGGGCAGAAGGAACCCATGCCATGGCTGTGGCAGCTTCAGTCCTTTAACAGATCAAGTAATGATTTTATGTGGCTTTGATTATGGCTGCACCGAATCTGGGAAGGTGCTTGAACAGTTTTCGAAGCCTTTGGGGGTCTCTAGGACGGGGTGTGAGGCTGGGAGCGGGGCCTAAGGGGATGGAGGGATCGATGCTGTGAGGTCCCCAGGCGTCCTCACGCTGCGGTGGAGCTGCAGGGCTCGCTGCGTGATCGGGGTGGTGAATAGAAGGAAAACACCTTCTGTGGGGCTCTGGCTTTACCCTGTACAAGTTGTTCCTTTAACCAGATGCTCTTTGGCAGTCCCAATGGCTTGGTCCAACTTCCAGCTGGCATCCACAGTAGGTTAGGTGGTAGCTGGATGGGGGTTTGTGAGCTTCCCAAAGTGGAAAACAGCAGAGAGCAAAACGTGCTGTAAAAATGCAAATAATAATTGGGAATGGGTACAGTTCCTTTACTTTTGCCTTCCAACATAAAAAGAGAATTGCTGTCCTCACCACCATCCTGGAAGGCCTAAGGGGTTTATAGGGTGTCTGTGGTCAGGAAGTGGAAATAAAATTAAAAGGTAAAAAAATACGGCAAATGGACAAATTGAGATTTTGAGGAGCTTTGAGGGTATATTGGATGTTGGCATGGGCAGCTGACTGATAAACGATGTGAAAGCTACGAGTAAAAATATATGACTTGTTGTAGCAAGAGCTAGGAGAAAATTGTAACGTGGTACAGAAAAAAGCCAGACATTAAATAAATATTCCTGTGCCTTATTTAAAAACTATCAGGGTAACGTAGCCAAATATTTCAGTGAAAGTGAAATACTTCCTACTCCATCAGTAAAAAGGAGGCTGTAAGGGGAAACTTCTAAATATGCTTAAGTCATTAGGACTGGATAATAGGCTCTGATTTTACCAAAGACCGTGATTGCTGTCGAGTCACACGGTTTTGTGGATAGCAAGTCTTGTCAAGCAATCCCATTATCGATTTTTAAAAGACCAGGAGTTTGGTTGATAAAGGTAACCATCACCACGATACATTGCCTTCTGTAAGCCTTATCTCCCTGTGATGCTGATTAAAAGCAAATGAAAAACGTACCAAGTCAGCATTGTCTGGTTTAATCCATTGTAAATGGATTAAAAACTCATTAACTGATAGATGACAGCGCGCGCTGAACTAATTTTAATAGGGAATCATCATCCTTCAGAAGTGTTTCCTTGGGGCTCCCCCCGGGGTCTCTCTGATTCACTGTCATCTTCATTAACGATCTGGGGAAAAATATCAAACGACTGGTGGTAACCCTTGCGGACGTGATGAAATTTGGTAGAAGGATCGATGGCGATGTGGCGAGTTGAGCAATGGAGCTCTCCTGTCCACATCGCAAAGTGGGCTTGTTCTGCAAGGCACGTTTCTGAAGACAGCCAAAGGTTTTGATTAGGAAGCAGGAGAAGGCCGATGGTAAATAAACTGCTTTTCCAGCGGGGAGGATGAGGCAGCGTGCAGCTCGGTGTCTGCGGCTCAGGCTGGACAAAGCCTAGCAACGAGGAGCACCCATTGATGCAATTTAAGGATTAGGGTGGCTTTACGAGAGGTGCAGGGGCTTCTCTGGTAGCTGCAGGCTTCAGACCCAGACGGCTCTCTTTGCAGAAGTGAGTCTACAGCTTGAGTTTCTTGGGTGAGGTTCCAGGCCTGTAAGTCCAACAAGCTGAATCTCTTTTGTCCTTAAAATATACGAATGGTGGAGGAGGCTTTGGAAAACGGCTCCTCTAGGAAAACGCTGCCAAGCCGGGAGAGCACTGGAAGTGTCGATAGCTGAATCTCTTCAGGCTGAACAAGTCCAACAAGCTGAATCTCTTTTGTCCTTAAAATATACGAATAGTGGAGGAGGCTTTGGAAAACGGCTCCTCTAGGAAAACGCTGCCAAGCCGGGAGAGCACTGGAAGTGTCGATAGCGAGGCAGTTGCATTGATCCTGCTGGAAGGGAAGGAAGACTTGGCGGTGGAAAATGAGCGTTTCCCTTTGGCTCCCTCCTCTCCGCGGTGTGTCCTCACGCTTGCGCTGAAGTGTAACCGCCTGCGCTGCCCCCCGTGCCCTCCCCAGATGCCAGTCCCGGCCGTGATGCCTTGGCAAAGGCTCGCACGGGGTGCCTGGCGGTTTGCTGGGCTGGAGGGGTGGGTATGCGGCACGGCCAAGGCAGCACGTCTGGAACAATTTTGCTTAGGAAGAAGGAAACTAATTCCCAAGTCAAACAGCGCACGACATGCCTAATGTGTTTGTGGAAAAGTCCTAAACATGGACATGTCTCCTAAGCATCTCAGGCTTCGAAAGAACAGCGTGTCCTGAAACAGCTAACTGGGTGCAGTCGCTGTGGCTCATCATGCAGTTAGGAATCGCCAACTCACTCTTCTCTCTTTTTTTTCCTCCCCCCCCCTTTCCTGATGTTTTATGGAAGAGAAAGAAGGAGGGGAAATATTTGCCCTCTCTCCTCTAAATCTTTGTTCCAAACATAGACAATTTTTAGGGAAATTCCAATGAAATGGATTCCGCTTGCTGACCTGCTTATTCATGTGCATGAGAGAAATCCTGGCACCTCTGCCAGGCCCTCCTGGGCTTCGGTGTTTGGGGCTTCCCCCTCCAAACCATGTTTTCATTACACAGAACGTAGGTCCCTTGCACAGGTGAGGTACCGGAGACAGGATTTTTTTCTAAAAACATTGGTTTTTTAAAAACAGATGAAAAGTTGACCGTGCTGGTATTTATTTATTTATTGCATAGGAACTTTGAATGCCTCAATAAAGATTACAAAAGCCAGTGATTTCTTATTCACCCTCGTTATCCTGCATCTGCTTCTCATTAAAAGTCTGTCTGGAAGGCTGCCCAGTGAAAAAGGCTGAAAAAATGAGCCTGTAAAATTCCCATAGGATGGAACTAAATGTGGCTGGAATTAGGGAGCTCGTTGCCTTTTGTCCTGGTTAGCAAAAATCTCTTTCTTGTTTTGCAGTTTAAATGACTGAAGCTATGCTTCAAGCTAGGGAATCAAATTGCCACCCAGCAAACCCGTACCGCCGTCCGGGGTTTGCTCCCCCTTTCCCCCCCCGTAGGACGTGGCCATGCATGCAGCGAGTCTGCGCGGTCTCAGCACCACGCTGGGATGGCCCTGCACTGGTACTTCCACCAGTAAAGATGTGAGTTGCTGCTGGAGACTCAGAGACTCAGGGCCAGGTCTTGTTGTGGCATGAAGATGGGGGCGAGGGTGCCGGGGGGTCCTGCCACCACTGCGGGCTCCGATGGCTGAGCGTGAGCGGCTGCTGCGAGCGGTGGCAGTGGGGAAGGAGGCCCTGACCTCCCTTGGGAACCCCTGTTTGATAATGTACATGGGGTTACACGTCTCACGTAGCCGCTCCTGCGATGAGCAGCAAACAGAGCGATGCCCTTGAGAGATGAGTTTTTCCCAGCTGGAGCAGCTGGTAGCTTTGACTCGGGGGGTACTGTATGGCACTGACCCCACTGTGTTTCTGTTTTCTAGTCCCTTATATTCCTTGTTCGTGACTGGAGCTTCCCGTATGAATTTTCCTATGGATCCGACGGCGGCGCAAGATTTTTGGAGAAGCGCCTGAAGGTGCGTTCTTTCTGACCTGGGTCTGTTTAATGAGCAGTGCAAGCCTGGGGGGTACGCTCGTGGGTGATGGAGAGGGGAAGGGGCACCTCTGGCTCGTGACCCAGGGGTGATGCACTGCCATCACCCACGCAGATGGAGGGTGCACAGGGCACGAGGGTGGGACCTTGATCTGGGGGACAGCCGGCGCTGGCAAGCGTAATCCTGGGCAGGGAGCGGGGAACGGGGTGCAGAGCAGTGAGGGTTCAGCTGGGTGGCCACGGCGCTGGCTGTTGGGTGTGAACTGCGGTGTACAGAGATGCTGGTTACGGTCACGCTTACCCCGCGCCTGAAAATCACAGAAGAGGCGTTTTAGGAGGCGGAATTTCCTTGCCACGTTCAGCGGAGGGCTGAGGCCACCTGTGCTAGGCTTCTGCCCAAGCCCAGGCTCCCCGGGGCTCTTGCTGGGAGCAGCTGGGAGAGGCGTTAGAGGTGGGAGTCAGCAGATTCCCTAGAGACCAGGATCCGTGTTTTAGTAATAGGTAGTTGCGCAGTAAAACCGATGGGCAAGGGCTCCACTGGGATTAATCAGGAAATGCATGGGTGATTTGGTAGTGGAGAGACCTAATTAAAGGGGAGACAAGAAAGGCCCTAGTGGGAAGTCCCACATGTTTTTGTATTCCAGTCATAGACGGGCATGCACATTTTCCAAACGATAATAACACGCCCCAGGGCATGTGGTCAGAGATACGCGAGTCCCTTGGTCGCTGGAGGAGCCTTGTCTTTGTCCTGGTGCAGGCATGCCCCCACGGGATGTCCTTCTGGCTTGCTCTTCCCGCTGTAAGCAGCCACAGTGCGCGGTACCCCCTGGTCCTGCCGGCCCCGCGTTAACCGGTGTCCCTGTCAGCAAGAAACCCCCTGACCCCAAGCTGCTTTCTCTCAGGTCTCGGGAAATCAGCATGAAGAGCTGCAGAACATCAGAAAACACATCCATTTCTGCTTCACCAAAATCTCCTGCTTCCTCTTACCCCACCCGGGCCTGAAAGTCGCCACCAACCCTAATTTTGATGGGAAACTGAAAGGTAGGAAGGCAAAGGTGTGGTTTTTAAGCAGATACCTTAGATGCCCTGGCAGACTGTCCCACTGGTCCCTGAAATGTCTGTAATTGCTTTCCATGAAAAAACTTTTGGGAGAGGAGTTGGATCCTCCTCCCAACGATGTACACGCGCTCGGCTCGTTATTCCAAGTCCAGCAGCTGCCTGTTCATTGCCGGGTACTTTTAACCCAAGACAGAGGTGGAAGCAAAAAAGGTGTAGGAGGCTAAAAAATTATGGGAGGCCAAAATGTGAAGGAGGCCAAGACAAATTTGGAGGCAAAAAATGTGTGGGAGGTCAAAAAAGGTGCAGGAGATGGAAAAGGTATGGGAGATACTGACAGAGGGGGAGGCCGAAAAGGTATGGGAGGCCAAAAAGAAGTGGGAGGCCAAAAAGGTATGGGAGGCTGAAAAGGTGAGGGTTGTCCAGAGAGGGGTGGAGGCCAAAGAGGTGTGGGAGGCCGAGGTGTCAGTCTCTGCTCCCAGGGAATGGGCGATGGGATGAGGGGAAATGGACTCAAGTTGTGCCAGGGCAGGTTTAGGTGAGACCCCACCTGGAGTACTGTGTCCAGTTCTGGGCTCCCCAGCTCAAGAAAGATGAGGAACTCCTAGAAAGAGTCCAGAGGAGAGCAACTAGGATGATAAAGGGACTGGAGCATCTCCCCTAGGAGGAAAGGCTGAGGGAGCTGGGCTTGTTCAGCCTGGAGAAGAGAAGACTGAGAGGGGATCTCATCAACACCTACAAATATCTCAAGGGTGGGGGTCACAAGGACGGAGCCAGGCTCTTCTCAGTGGTGCCCAGCGCCAGGACAAGGGGCCATGGGCACAAACTGAAGCAGAAGAGGTTT